CTTTTGGCAAATTCAGTGAAAACATCATATGATTGTGGGAAAATCCTACTACCAGTCCTTCATCACCTGAAACGAAATAGAGTTAATACATCACTCAGGCGACATCCCTTCTAAGTCGCCTGAAGTGATGAAAGACTGATAGGACTTCAATACAAACTGGATGAAAATTAATTTTGGAAACAGAGCCAAGTGAAATTCATTTGCATCGTGAGGCCTACTGGTCTAACTGTGGGAAGATTAACTATCTTTCCTTCCTCAACCTTAGCGATTTAGGGCGATTAATGCTTTAATTCAAGATCTTTTGGCATTTTCGAAAACTCTCTCAATTATTCAAGCAGCACATTAACGCAAAAACATGGCTGTAGAAAAAGTGTGTTTCAAAGACTCCCTTCATAGGTTGATGTTGTAATACCTTTTATTTCGCTTGAAAAGGCGAGTGGAAGGGATTCGTAAGTTGGCCTGACCGGAAGCTGCAGGAGGATAGCCTTGGTGTCGTGATTTTAGATTTGTGCGAATAGGTCCTCGGATCACCAACCAGCGAGGCCGATGAATCCTTGCTGAACTTTCGTCAGTCATGTCGTGTGATACTTCACCAAAATGGGAAAACAAGAAAGGAAGACAGGATGACCGGCACATGACAGACGAAAGCTTGGCAACGATTCATCAGGGTTGCAGGGCGATGCACCGAGGACCTATTCGTAAAAATCTACAATCGCGACTCTATGGCAATCCCCCTACAACTTCCGATCAGGCCAACTTACGAATCTCTTCTACTCACCTCTTCAAACAAAATGAAAGGTAATCCCAAAACAAAACTGTCTGTCAACCCAACGCTGTTGAGGTTGGGAATACAAGAAAGGCGGCAAAAGTGGCACCAAACATTTTGATATACGCATTTTGTTCTATGTATACCAGTTCAGCTATCTTCTAAGGCCATGAACATGTGAAAGTGGAATAATTTGGAGTATACAACCAGAAAAAGCTATGAAATAACTATGAATCAGCGCCGGATTTCTTTCTTGTACCGGTGTTTTAAGCATTCTTTCCAGATCTGACGGTTTCTGTCCCAACAGGACAGACGAAAGCTCAACATGGATTCATCTGAGTCGTGGGACAATGCGTGCAAATCTACAATCAAATCTCCAATAAATTCCTTTTTTCACTTGCAGTGAGGTCACTAGCTCCTTCAAAAAATGGGATGGGAGCCCAAATGGAAAAAATGTTAAAAACTATGATGAACAGTTGATGAAGGTTACCTGGAAAGTGAAGTGCCCCTTTTTCGCAGAATAAATTGCAGTCGTAATTTGTAGACGCTTCGTCTGAGTCAGTACACCCATTCATCACTTTCTGGTCTGTCTCAACGGTCTTGGCTTCGGAGAGGCCCCTGGCAGGCGTAAAAGTGTCATTCTTCAAGCTTTCCGGAGCCTTTGTGAGGTCATTTGGTGCCGAGTCGGGTCCAGGACTGGTCACGCCGGACTCTGAGCCAGACGATGTCGTCGCCGACGTCGACGTCGCCGCCGCTGCCTCCGCCTCTTCGCGCGCTTCCCGTTCCAAATAGGCGTCCTCGTCCACCTCCGGCAGAACCTCACGGATCACGTCAACCCTGGCACCAAGACAGCCACGTGGAAAAGGTCCACCGGAGGACGAAAGTCCAGTCAGGATGAGGGACGCTGGCATTTTACAGTTGACCTCGCGTGGGTCGACCTCTGGATCACATAATGTTGGTTTGTCTGTTTGTTTCGGCTGCCAAGTGAACGAGGAGGTGGATCAAGGCCGGGCGAGGAAGAGTCGCAGGTAAGAAGAAGAAATGAGGATGAGGAAATAAGAGAATAAAGTTTGTGAGCATTTACTATTATTTAGGAGACTCTGCATCTGGCAGACCCACATGTACTATCTGGTGATCTCAAGTCCTCCGAGATGCGTTAATCCAATTCATTTGTTGTCGTCTGAAGACCAGTATGATCCTTAAGATCCACCCTACTTTAGTCACATGTACATTTCCCCCATCCCTTTACAGCCCTCTTTCAAATTGCACCCGGCTAAAGAGTTCAAATAAGGTATTCTTATCCCACCGGTCACTGCTTGTTGTCCTTAGAAAAGAGAAATGCAAAAGGGCGTTTAATCATTTCACTCAGCAGGATATCATATTTCTGCTCTATTTTGCCATTCTCATTGTTCTGGTGACTTGCATTTTGTGTGAAATTGTCTGATGCAGATATTCATAGGTCGATCTAACCCAAAAATGGTGGCTGATTTTAGTTATTTCAGATTATCTTTTGATGCTACTGCCACGTTCGGGCTGGCCACAGTTCATGGGTCTCTCTTCCTCTCTCATACATACACACATACACACACATATATATTCTTTGAAATCATTATATATCTGACTACATATCATTAGTACTTTATATTTGCGAGTACATATATACACTGTATGTACTCACAATTGTACAGCACTGAAGAAATATAACTAGATATAAATTGTTTTAATAATTTCTTTTCATGTTACTCTGTCTACTGTTATGTTTGATTGTGTGTGAATGTGCGTGTGCGCATGAGCCGATTGTTCGACTTGAAATTGAACTTCTCTGAAGGACATTATATTTCCGCTTTATTTTGTACACCTCATTCTGACTGGTGAGCCTCTTTATCCTTCTATTCATCCACTTATGCTTCGCCATCCTCCTCCTCATAATATGGTTTTCAGTTAGCAAATCTCGTCACCTTCTCAATTTTCATAACCTGTGAGCGATCTGAAGGCTATTTTGCTCAGAAAACCTCTTCCGGCCGATATAGGGACCGCGGAAATCCTAATACATGATCAAATTTGCTCCGGCCACAAGGATACGGATCCATATGAAAGTAACTGGAATGCCCTGACACTACTCCCTCGATACCGAGCTCTACCGACTAAGCCTACTACAGTCCATGATAAGGAGCAGTCGCATTATACTGGAACTAACTAGCCCATATTCAATAACCTCGTTATTTTATAAAAATATTAAAGTTTTGCATCGTAAGCATAGTAGTTGAGGCATAAACATGAATCCATACACTTCTTTGCACTGATTTGTCTAATTTAGCGTGCCATCAACGTAAAGCCGACCTGTTAGAAGTAACACCAAAAAGAAACAAATTCCATTATTTAGATCGGTTCCCGAGGCGAAAAAAGCGCCCGCTTGAGGAAGAAAACTTATCAAAGAATTGTGGGCCTTCATTAAGCCTCCGCAAATTACAGGAAACTCTTGTTAATTTGGAAACCCTCCGCAGATGGTCATTGTTATCCACACTTTCGGCTAGTTGGCTTTATAAATTCTATCAAAATTGATGAAGAGCCCGATTTTGCACACTATTTTTACTATGTCTTCCACAAGGATGTTACCATCCACAATACACAGAAGTTTATATTTCACATTGTTGAAAAAAATAGAGGACAAGATAATTGTGATAAATCACAAAATTAAACGGATTAGTTGGATTGATAGCGAATATACCGAGGATTACTTGAAGAGGGAACTTGATTTTTGCACTAAGTTTCCCCAAATCTTGGTACACACAAGGACACTTCCCTATAGCCATGACCCTATTTTCAACCCTCCTATAGGAGCTCGAGCCACGAAGGTGTAGGTTAGAGAAGATACTATCGCCCCATCCAAAAAAAACCTGCGCCCACTGAACCAGCCCACCGACGCTCCGACTCCCCGCTAGAGCTGTTGATTGGACTATGATACAAGGCCAAGTTGCC